ACACTGTAATGTGGTTAAATGTGGTGGGGTGTAATCTGATATATCGCGAGATTTGCTGTATGGCAATTTCTAATCGGGAACTACTACGGGTCGGTTCTTTCAAACAGTTCGTCTCAAAGAACCGTTTCAAATACGTTGAAAGGTTTTTTTTTTAATATAGCTGTTTATTTTAATTTTCATATGTCCCAGCTCAATTTTGTTGATTCCATGATTCAGCTCTTATCATAAATACAAACCGCAAGGTAATTATTTTAGTTTAGTTTTTATTTTTATTTCTTATTTATTTTTAAATTATTATTTAGTTTAGACTTATTTTAAAAAATTAGATTGGCATCCCTTTATTTTTGAACATCGATGTGATTAAACAAAAATTAAATCGTTTATCTTGAAACAATGAGCCGAATTATGGGCACCAGGGCCGTCCTTAGGGGGGTGCCCGGGTGCAACTGGTGCGGTCGCACTGGCCCGTGGCACGGTGAGGGGGCCCCGCGGCGAACGGACCACCCGCACCCCCCTTCCGTCACGATGTAAAGTGATAAACAGCGCAAGTCACTTGATCCATTCAGATGTGACACACAATTACGAGAACCTTCAAGGTTCTGTAGTGATTCTGGCTGAAACAGCTACGACAATGTAAACTGCATGAAGAGGTCAACTGGAAAACGCCAGTAGGCCTAATTACAAGCTCAATTTAACTTGCATTTATTAACACTGTACAAATGGTGTTTGGGCAGAAATGTTTTTATTATGGCCTATATGTTACTGTTATACTTATATTAAATATCGGGGAATATTTTACTTTTATAGAAGTTGTTTTTGTAGTTTCTACGTTGTTGTTTTTTAATGACAAATTCCATAGTTTACTTATTATTTATTTTAAAAAGCATATAACCATTGTAATGAGGGCCATGGTTTTACTTGTTGTCTTACTAATACTAGTCAGTTCAACTCTGGATCCTATAAAGCAAGAACTAAATTTCATGTAAAGGATAATTTAACAGAATAGCTTTAGTAGCTTCTTCCTCTTTAAATGTTTAGTTCGAATTAATTTTAATTTAAGTAAAATGTTGATTCAATAAGAGCCTAATTTAAGATAAAAATCAGTGTCTTATATAAAATAGGGGTTTACTATTTACAAACAGCCTATTGAAGTTCTTAAAGGGATAGTTCACCCAAAAATTTAAATGGTCATTATTTACTCAACATCATGTCATTCCAAACCTTTATGAATTTATTTCTTCTGTGGAACATAAAATAAGATAATTTGAGAAATTCAAGTATGTTTTGTCCATAAAATGCTTTGGTTACATTCTACAAAATATCTCCTTTTGTGTTCCACAGAAGAAAGTAAGTCACACAGGTTTAGAACAACATGAGGGTGAGGAAATGATGACAAAATGTAATAACATAAAATTTTCTGCATTCTAGCTCAAAATCAATGCTTTACTGTCAAGTGCATTTCTATGTGACAAAAATGCATCATTAATTACTTTGTTGCATTTGAGTTCAGTGATATCTATTATTATCTGTGTCTGTCCTGTTTTATTTAGGCTATTCATTTATTATACTTCAATTGAAGGCCCTAACCCAGCAAAACATTCTCAGGGAACTTGTGGGCCAAATGCACTGGATTTGTCCAGGGCCGAATTTTAATCCCAGCCCAGCCCTGCATGCATGCAATATATTATATTATATGTAATATAATATTAATAATAATAATAAGAAGAAGAAGAGGAATCTTAAATAATAGTTTGTTTCTATGTTGGCTTGACAAAGCCTTACAAGTATTAGGCTACAAAAATAAAAACATTCTGTGCCAATTCTTACGCCAAGGATCTTCATTTTTCACTTCAAAATAAAAACTCCACACAAATCTAAAATCAAATCCTTCTTTAGTTAAACTTTAATACAATGTCACAACACTATATTTTTCAAGAGACCCTAAAGTAGATCAGATATAGTCTCAAAACCGTTTTGACTGATTATATCTCACAAATGTTGCTGTTCAGATGAAATACTAACCTATTCATAGGCTTCATGGGACGCCACACAGTGGTGCGGCAGCCATTTGTAGGACCGAATTGCAATTCCGTCAATCTGCTGTGCTGTGTTTTGGGCTGTGATAACAGCGACTCACAAGTGACTTACCAAGAGATGTGGATGTATGGGATTCCTTTGATTAAATATTTCTCGTAAGCATAGATGAGTTTTTATATTTTAGTATTTTAGTTAGCAAGTTCATCATGAAACTTGCAAAAGGTTAAATTTGCGTGCGAGACGGCTGATTTGCCAGAAAACTTTCGTTATGCTCCACCTAAAGCTAATAAATCGAGAATGTTTTTGATCTTTGATCTAAGTACAGTTATGTGAGTCTAGAATGTTTACGCTGCACTAAACTTTGACTAACAACACTCAGACCTGCAAACAAACAGATGAAGAAGAGGAGGAGGATGACGGCCCAGCGCATACAAGGAGAAAGGTTTGTAGTTTTAGTTTCCACATTCTTATTTTTATTGGATTAGTTACCAAGAGATGTGGATGTATGGGATTCCTTTGATTAAATATTTCTCGTAAGCATAGATGAGTTTTTATATTTTAGTATTTTAGTTAGCAAGTTCATCATGAAACTTGCAAAAGGTTAAATTTGCGTGCGAGACGGCTGATTTGCCAGAAAACTTTCGTTATGCTCCACCTAAAGCTAATAAATCGAGAATGTTTTTGATCTTTGATCTAAGTACAGTTATGTGAGTCTAGAATGTTTACGCTGCACTAAACTTTGACTAACAACACTCAGACCTGCAAACAAACAGATGAAGAAGAGGAGGAGGATGACGGCCCAGCGCATACAAGGAGAAAGGTTTGTAGTTTTAGTTTCCACATTCTTATTTTTATGAATGTAACTGAATGTAATTACTTCAAGGATGTTAGAGTGAAGAGGATTTGTTTGTACTATTACTATTATAATTCTATAGAAGAACGTTCTTTTACAGTTATGCGAGTCTAGAATGTTTACGCTGCACTAAACTTTGACTAACAACACTCAGACCTGCAAACAAACAGATGAAGAAGAGGAGGAGGATGACGGCCCAGCGCATACAAGGAGAAAGGTTTGTAGTTTTAGTTTCCACATTCTTATTTTTATGAATGTAACTGAATGTAATTACTTCAAGGATGTTAGAGTGAAGAGGATTTGTTTGTACTATTACTATTATAATTCTATAGAAGAACGTTCTTTTCAAATAATCTGTTAACTAAATAGCCTATATAAGCTAGTTGCAGTGATTTTTACAATGTACTGCAATCAAATGTATATGCTTCAATATGTCTGAGATCATTTGCAGTAGCCGTGTCCTGCTTTTACAGTTGCTAAATTTAAGCAGACTTATATATGTACAGGTGCTCACCACTGCCAAAACACATGTAACTGACTACAACAAAACACAGAATCACAGTTTTCTTGCTACTTTAGTTGCTTCTTCTGGCATGTAGAGACATACAGGAATAACGGAATATTTCTCTTAAATGTGCCACAAATGTCTTTTAACAATGTTTTGTAGTAACCGAGAGAAGTGTCATCGCAGAAGAAGTGGCAGAAGTTCCTCAGACAGCTGTGAACACCGAGCAGTGCTTGGAGTCAGACAGTAGACTTCATCTTTATTATACTTCTCTGACTGGACTAGCAAGGAGCCGTTAGAGTCGATGAGAAAGTAAGTTCAAGTACATGTCTGCACTGAGCATGATTATACTATGTAATATAATGTTTTCTGCAACAATTGGGGGGGATCTTAACTGAGGAGACAAACTGACCAACAGGAAGCCATGGATATACTGAATGTGTATTTTTCAAGCATTTTATTGTGGCATTCACTGTTATTTTTTTGCACAGTGATGACTAGTGAAAGGTGTTTCCTACTAATTTACTTAAAAGTAGTTAACCCAGAATTCTGTCATCATTTACATTATTACATCAATTCCCCCTCATTTTTTTTCAAACCCCTTTCTTTTGTTTTTCTGCAGAACTCACAAGTAGATACTTTGAAGAATGCTGGTAATCGAAACCAACAGGTTTGTCACGTGTAGACGACATAAAGGGAGTAAATGATTTTCATTTTTGGGTAAACTATCTCTTTAATTAGGATGATACACACTTTAAATTGTAATCATACTGGACGCAGCCACGTAATGTGCTAGAGTTAAATGGGTGAATAATAATAAATAAATAGTCTTTCAAACAACATGTGCTTTGATACAATATATATACATTTACTTTTATTCAGTTTGGTGCATTCAGATAGACCTTTAGTAATAGATACTTGTGCATTATTTACTCTTGACAGGTGCAGAAATGAAAGCTCCCAAGCAAAGTACTCACTGGACTATGATGTGGAAAGACATGCTGCACAATGAGCAACAACCGTATTCACTGATTACCTTTAAAAATTATTCATAGTTAGGTAATAATTATTGAAATTATTTTACCAAGTACAAAATGTTTAATTCAAAAACTTTGCCATTTACCAATGTGTACCTTTATTTATTAAATGTTACAGTCCAAGTGTACTTATAAATGCCTCATTCATTCAAGTTAATGCATGGGTAATTTGTGTTAAATATTTTATCTACACTTATTGTATAACTGCTGTTTTTTGCTGTAATTGCATGGTTTTGTAAATCAATTTTCCTCATGCCAGCTTGGTCAAGCTAGTTATTTAATGGACTTTAAAATTGCTTTCATAATAATGAGATGTTTATATATTTGTTAAGTCATGTTATTTATGTATTATAATATATCATTACAATGAAAGTAAATGTTTTGTCTAGGTAACGTTGTTAATTTTACATGGTGTGCTGCAGATGGATCCGGGCCGATGGACAAGTCTCTAGCAGGTGAAAATGTAACTGAAAATCATGGCCCGAGTGTACAGAGAGGGATTGTGTATGAGGCAGATGTAAACAGCCTATCAGCAAACGTCAAGTTGGTAAGTCACGTAACTGAAACCCATTAATAACGGTTTCGACAGTCCTCTAATAATGTTAAGTTTCGTTTTTTGGAAATGGAGAGACTAGGCTATATATATTCGCTGCTGGGCTGCTACACTCATTCAACATATCTGGCAGGAACAGAAGCCGACACAAATGCGAGATGGACAACTGGTAAGAAACGTTTTTAATAGCAACACAGTATACTAGGTGATATTCTGAGGAAATTTGTGTTTCATTCTTTTAGGAATCAAAGAGGTTTATCAATATAAACGTTGAGGAGAATGGACATATAATCATGAAAACAACAATTCATTTGCTTCTTGTCCTCCGAATATTCATGCTAACGGACTGTTATCAAATATATTCAGGTCTTGTTGGTTTGCGTCTAGGTTGAGGTCTAGATTGAGTGTAAGTTTCGTTTCGCCAATCAGCGTCAACTCAGATGCAGATGCTCCAGGAATCTGAAACTGAGGCGCAAGTCGCGTTCAAACACAGGCGGAGCGTATGGCAAGCCGAATTAGTTTTAAAGTGCCCCTGTTGTGCCATTTCGAATATTGCCTTTCATGCAGTGTGTAATGTAGCTGTCTGTGAAATGTAAACTATCTGCAAAGTTGTGAAGCTGACAGTGCACGGTAAATAAAGTTATTGTCTCTTTAAAAAAATAGAATCTGTTCATATCACCTAAAGGAGTCGTCAGGAAATTTGAATCCCACTTCTGTGATGGCTACACGTCACTGGGTAATACATTTGCATAATGCCTGCCTATGTTCTATGTTGTCGGCGCAAACAACTTGACCCGCCCTGAAATAGTGTAGCATTTCTGTGTGTTATAACATCATGTTCAGAAGTAAATTTGTTTTATTTTCACTTCCGAATGATGAGGCTGCAAAGAAAACAACCACAGCAGTACAATCCCAATCTCTTTCGTGTTCCCGTCATTTTACTGACGACTGCTTCTCTAATCTCGGGGGGTTCAAGGATTTACAAAACACTTGCTCTTGAAAGATGGATCAATTCTGTGCCCGTTTATTTGGACCAGATTGCTCCACTGAATCACAACGTGTGTAAGTATGATAGATAATAAATGTTTATATTTTCTATTGATCGTTCAAAATACACTTAATTCTTCATAAAAGAGGCGTCTAATGCTCAACAAATGCAGAAACGTATAATACTAATACCTGTCGTACTTCGTCGCAACAGAGGTTTTCACCTTCGCTTGGCATTCTGATACAGTTCCCACAAGTGCACCTAAATAAACTACGGCAATCTAAGTTAACACTTACCACTGAGAAACATCCTGCTCCAGTTGTGCTTGTGAATCAGTGTCTGGTTGATCAACTAGACGTTTCATCATCGGTCTCTGGCTCGAATTTATAAGGTAAAATCGATACCATCATTTCTCTCTGGAGCTATCATTCAGTTATGACAATGGCCGTTTCGTTTCTGACACGCACTGTATGCGGTAGACCAATAACAAATGACTGGGCCATCTGGCCAATCAGAGCAGAGTAGGCTCACGCAAAGGAGGGGTTTAGAGAGACTGAATCTTAAGCCCTGCTCACACTGTGCAATTTTGGCCACGATTTGGTTGTCTGAGACAAATTTTAGAAATCCTAAAAGATTCCTATAATCCTAGGCTAAAATCCGTTGTCTTTGATTGCTGGTTTGACATGTTCACCGACAGCCGATTAATGGCCGTTGTGATCAATTTTTTCCTTCGATTAAATTCTGGCCGTGTCAGAAGATTTCGACACTTTCCTGCAATGTGACATCTCCTACGACGACCGTCAAACCAATATCCAATAGGAGCGCTGAACCTGATAATGCAATTAACGCAACAACTTCAAACCACCTCAGTGAAAATGTCGAAACGAATCAGGTGGACAGTACAACAAGAAGAAAAACTTATTGAGTTTATTTATTAAGGGGCAGGATGTTTAAACTCGAATAACAAAATTACCTCAAGTTCGCTCTGTAGAACTGGAAGTCCATAAAGTCCTCTTTTGCCCAGCCATGACTTGCTCCATATACGTCAACTTTTTATTTTTATTTTTTATTATTATTATCAAGGCATGTAATTAAAAAAAACTAATGCTACATATTGCTTTTGTTTGCTAGCTACCATTATAGAGAGAGAACGCGGGTTACAGATTGATGACATAAAACTCCGGACAAGTCCTCTTGTGTACGTCCGTTTTTATCACGTCTTGACTGTCATACAGTCTGACATTATGACAACTGAGATCCTACAGTGTGACATGGGGATCATGTTCGTATAGTGTGACAAGCAACAATCGCAAAGGACTATTAAAAATCGCACAGTGTGAGCCCAGCTTTAGAACTGCTTCGTACGAATCGTTTACAAATCATTGAGAAATGCAGTGAAATTAAATGTATATTATGAGAAAACAAAAGTGTTTTTTGACCTTGCATGCATGTAAACTTTCAGCCTCCCAAAACAATTTTAGGAACTTTAAAAATGGCATAATAGGGGCATTTTAAATACACCCAACATTGCTCGTTGTAATTGCATTTTTACTAGTAAGAGCGCTTTAATTCAGTTTTTACTTGTAAACATTACGATTAGAGATCTCTCTATTCCAATTCTTACTAGTCACAATTATATTCAGAGAGCTCTATAATTAAATTCTTACTATTTAGCTAGAATTCGAGAGCTCTACAATTACATTTTTACTAGTCCTGTCTCCATTGACTTCCGTTTGTTTTTAATTACAGAGCTCTACAACTGAATTGTTACTAGTAAGAATTGCCATTAGAGAGCTCTGCAATTAAATTCTTAATTTAATTACACTCAATTAAGTTTTTACAAGTAAAACACATTAAAGATGTATTTAACTGCAAAGCTCCGCACACTGTAAAAAATGAATCATGGGCCTTGTAATTTTCATTAAAAAAATTAAGGTGATAATTAAAAAGTGTGTATATTTTATTAAAAGAAATTGTGGTTCAGTGTTATATAGAAAATATTGAGAACTTTTCACAAATAAAACCAAAAGATTATGTTTTCCTCATATATTTTTTAAGGAAACTTAAGCAGTTTTGAGGCTTGAACTGATTCAACTGAAAAATTAAGGAAAGAAGGCTGCCTATTTATTTTAATAGAATTAGCTGTTTTATTTTGGCAGTGAATGTTAGTTCCCAGCATGCTTTGCTTATGGCTGGATATGGAGAGTAAATATTGAATTCAATTACTCTAATTCAATTACAGAGCTCTCTAATACAATTGGTAATGGCTTATACAGCTCTCTAATGGGTATTGTTACAAGTAACAATTGTATTGAAGAGCTGTCAAACTGAAATGTAACTAGTAAAAATAAAAAAATACATTAAAAGCTAATTTGGCTTGCCATAGGGAGCACTACTTAATAGAACACAATGCTGTGAAATAAAATAGTTCTCATGGTTCTGGTCTCAGTAATTATAATTTATAACATTTCTTCTTAGGATTTCAGCCTTTATGATGCTATGGCTTATCATTTGTGTCGGTAAGTAGCCAATGACAAAAGTATGCCAACTTTTATTATTTATAATAATTTTGCTCTTTATTTCAGTGTCAAATAATAATGTGTATTTTATCGAACTTGTCCCTATAGGCTCCTCTCCCCTCTCAGTGGTTGTCCATATGTCATCAAAGGTTGGTCTGCCAGCTGTCCTGCCGTGTTCTGTGGCATCACACCTGGAGTCTGATCACACGCCTCACATTCAGTGGCAGACCATAAGCTATTCAGTGTTTGAGCGAATGGGACAGGAGCAGTTTCAGGGGGAGGCTTATAGAAACCGAGCGGATGTCCCAGAGGAACTGCTTGTGAGAGGAAACTGCTCTTTGTTCTTGCAGGATGTCAGATTCAGCGATGCAGGCATTTATGAGAGTTACTTGGTGTATGGTGAATCAAATATCAAGAACCGAATTTTCATTCAGAGTGTCCATCTTGCAGTAATTGGTGAGGGCACTTTAACACTAGAACACAGCACTGTTCAAAGTATATCAACGGCAAAACATTCATATGTGTGTTTGGAAAATACAAACAATTTATAGCAGTTTTAAAGAAATATTCTGTGTTTGGTACAAGTTAAGCTCAATCGACATCACTTGTATTGTAATAGACTGACAAAAAATGGTGTAGAAACAATTTTTTTTTTAGAAATTGGCAGTAAATTTCACAATCAAAAACATTGAATAAAAAATTTTGAAGTAGAAAAACCTGAAGCATATTTTCTCGTAAAACATACTCCAATGATCTTTGTTTGATTTACTAAGTATTACAGTGCATATTTATTACCAGGAAAAAAATATTTAGACTTCTTTTTCTTGAATAAAAATAGCAAAAATCTAGGTTAGAGTGAAAAGTGGATTGGAAAAGAATGGAAAGTGAATTGGCATGACAACTTAACACCTAAAATATTTAGTAAATCTATGCATTATGTGAGCTAAATCTTTTTAGCTCACATAATGCACATTTTAGCTGAAGAATTCATTTAAGTTCTTTTATAAAATTATGATCTTCACAATCCTCCAAAATTCGGTCACTTTTACTACCAATGTAAGTGCCTCACCATGACCTCAAGTTTCGCTTTTTTGCAAGTTTCAAAGAAAGCAAAGTTTAAGTTGGATTTCGTTTTTTTTTTTGTAATTGGCGTAATTGACATTGTCACAATGCTATTGATTGAGTTTCATTTGTATTGATCCTGGAATATTGCTTTAGCATGCAGTATAAATCATAATCCATATATATAAATATAACTTTATATATATATATATATATATATATATATATATATATATATA